CTCAAAACTCTTTTTCTTATGTTTGAATCTTGAAGAAAAAAAAAGGTTTTTGAGCAGATTGTTTTTGTTTAATACAGATTTGATATCAGAGTTCTTTCATATTACAATATGACATATACAGTAGAGGCAGTTATTAAATGTATTGCAGCCTCAGCTTTCTATCTTGGTGCTCCCTGGTGTATAAAATATCTTATTGAATAACCAGGTCCTACAGAAACACAAATGATTCAGAAAATATATAAGAAAAATTGCAGCAGGGGATGCATTATTATCAGGCATGGATCCAGACCTGCAGTCGGCCTCTTAATAGATTTAATCTGATAGGTTATAATGCATGTCTGCTTAATAACATTATTTTTTATCTGAGAACAAGAAACTAGAGTAATCTGTATGAGTTGTAAGAGAAGCAAAGTGCTCTATATTAAGAGTTGTAGAAATGCAAAGTGATTCATTTATAAGTGTTGTAGAAAAGCAAAGTGATTCATAAGTGTTGTAGAGAAGCAAAGTGAGTTATAAGTGTTGCAGAGAAGCAAAGTGATTTATAAGACAGTTGTAGAGAAGCACTAAAGTGATTTATAAGTGTTGAAGAGAATCTAAGTGATTTATAAGTGTTGTAGAGAAGCTAAGTGATCTATAAGTGTTGTAGAGAAGCACTAAAGTGATTGTAGAGAACTTAAGTGATTTATAAGTGTTGTAGAGAAGCACTAAAGTGATTGTAGAGAACTTAAGTGATTTATAAGTGTTGTAGAGAAGCACTAAAGTGATTGTAGAGAACTTAAGTGATTTATAAGTGTTGTAGAGAACCTAAGTGAATTATAGGTGTTGTAGAGAAGCACTAAAGTGATTTATAAATGTTGTAGAGATCAAAGCACTAAAGTGATTTATAAGAGTTAGAGAACTTAAGTGATTTATAAGTGTTGTAGAGAACCTGAGTGAATTATAGGTGTTGTAGAGAAGCACTGAAGTGATTTATAAGTGTTGTAGAGATCAAAGCACTAAAGTGATTTATAAGAGTTAGAGAACTTAAGTGATTTATAAGTGTTGTAGAGAACCTAAGTGATTTATAAGTGTTGTAGAGAAGCACTAAAGTGATTTATAAGTGTTGTAGAGAACCAGTTAGTGCTTTAAAAGATTTTCAGAGAACCAAAATTATCTTTTAAGAATTGTAGAGATTCAAAGTTGTAGAGAACATGAAAGTGATTGATAAGGTTTTTAGGGAACCAACATGATCTGAACAATACAAATTGAACTGATATCAATAAAATGTAAAATCCCCGCCCCTCACTCTATAAACAATCCTTAGGGATTCATGTAACATTAAATAGGATATTTTACAAGGTCAGGGGTGATTTGGGAGTCTAAAAATAGTTGCTGTTGACAAGCAGGTAAGATTGGCAGGTATATAATACGTCAATCGGATCAGCTGCTTATTAACTTTGCCATCCATTACATGACAACGTATCCTGCTTAATTAATTTTCATCACCATGGAAATCGAAGAAAGCCATCTCATAAGAATTTAACACCAAGCCAGCGGTCTCATTGGCCAGATGGACCGATGTTTGGTCACTTTGAGGTGTGAAACCCTGACGGTTATATCTTGTGACCAGACACTTTGTTTCAGCATCTTGATCAGGCTTCAGAGCGGCAAAGACAGATAAACTTTTTGTCATCAAAAGGTCTTCCTTAGTGAAATCACAAACCAGATCTGTTCCAAGACTTCTCTCTGTGAATTTTTTTTCCTTATTGGAAAGTGATAGACTTTGATGTTGGACTTCATGAAGATGATATCATGTTCAATCTTCTGTCATTAATTGAGTTCAGTCTTAGACCCTGCAAAACATTGTTTTTAGCTGTTCGGATTCTGTAATTATAATGGTCATCACCTTTTATTAACTGACTCTGGAGAAGAATTTCTCTCTGGAGCTGAATTGCAACCAGAAGAAAAAATCAATTTGAAAATTGATAAAGATCTGTATTTACTGCTTGACAAAGCATCAAAGCAATTATTGCCTTTTTTATAAGCTTTATAGTGATTCTTAATTAAAAGAGACTTAATAATAAGACAGTGATAAGGAATTGCTTCTCTGGGACATGCCTTCAGTTAATAAAGCAACAACACCTAAATGCAGGTAATTGATTTTTCGATATTTATATTTTGTCCATGAGTTATCAACATTTTGATGAAGAGAAGAGAATGTAATATAACAATATTCCACTTAAAAGCAGCTGAAGTATCATTGTTTCGATAATTAATGGTTCAAATATAATTAATATACAGTCAAACTTTAATATCTTGAACTTGATGGAACCATGAAAAGACTTGAAGATAATATTCAAGGATTTGAGAAGTTGGAGTTAATTAACAAAAAGGTAAAGAAAGCTTTTGAATGAATTCAACAGATACAGGGTATTTCAGATAAATCAGTGTTTGAGACATCCAAGTTCTACTGTACAGTAATACTGAAGTCAGCATGCATGGCAAAATTTTGTTTTTGTTACTTGTTAAGAAAATTTTCTTTGGAAATCTATAAAAAGTAATTTTTTTCTTTAATTTAAATTTGCATTTATGTTTTGGTGAACATGCTTTAAATCAAAGTCATAGCTTTTAAGCACCATCCTTTTAAGGAGAAACTCATTATGGACTATTGATTCTTGGGGACTGCAATGTCAACAGAGAGAAACTGTCATCTATAATTGATCAAGTTTAAAATCTGTGCTCATTACTTCAGTGATCAGACCAAAATCTGTAATTTAATAGTGCTCACCAAAGGAAGATGGGAATGAGATTCTTGCAGATACTGCAAGGGAAAATTCACATTAGCTCACTCAATAACGTGCAGGCTTCTATGTTTACATTTGTTGTCTCGATAGAATCCTGGGAAAATGACAGGGGTCAGAAACCTAGAGGTTAATTGTGCAGCAATGGTCCCTCCATTTATAGTCTTAATGATACTGGTCTAGGCCTTATTATTGACGTATAGAGTTTATGCATGCTGTTGCACTGTGTGGGAGGATACTAATTTTATCAACACTTTTAATGGAAATAAATGCATTTTCAGCATGATCGACTCTATTCAATTGACATGTACAAGCACAAATTTTGAGATAACACTTGTACTAAGAACATTGTTTTTTAATTAAATTTCCAGTAGTGCAAGAAGTAGTTAGAGATTCTGTTGATTCCATTTCCTGATTGTCAGAGGTCTTGGAAAGTGGTGTTGGGGGGGGGAGTGATGAAACACTGCAAGAAGCAATAGGATTTTTTTTTGGGGGGGGGGTGTTATTGGTAACGATATTCCATTAGATTATGCTTGTAAACTCATTTGGCCCTTTGCCACGTACAAAACATATTCATCCTTATTTACTGCAGGTTTTCATTTAGGATCTACTCTTGCATTATAATCCTTGTATATTGGTACATTGAGGCCCAGATTTATGAGCAGTTTCCAGTAAAAGTGTGGGTCATTTATTACAGAAAACCAATAACTGCTGTATAGTCCAGCATTGAGAATTACCTCCAGGGCTCTAAATATTCTCAAGGAATGAACGTTAAAGCTAATGACCTGTGAATTATTGCATGGTCACTAAAAATCATTTTGACCTAATTGTATGGCTTACTGATAGTTTGTTTACAGTCTCCAAATAAGACTTGTTAATGGGCAAGAGCAAGTCTGCATTTATTTACTGTTATAATTAACTGATGGATAATTAGCCAATGATGCTAATAAGAAAAGTTCAAATTCTACAGTGGATGGTAGTGTGTTTGTTTTTGAAGAAAATTCAGTTAATTAAGGCGTGCACAAAATATTTTCAATACACCTTTTTCATCTGTTTCTTAAATTATCGTGGAAGTAGACTGTTACGGCTGTTAGAAATTGATAAGCATTTAAGTAGAAATACTTGGTTGTTCATTCCATAAGTAATGTTTGCATTATCCGTACTCAACTGAGTACAAGAGTATAACATCAGATCGTTCTGGTATTGAGACATTATTGAGCTCGGATAATGATGTATTAACTTCCAAGGGGCTGCTGAAAGCATTGACATTCTGTGAAGATAGTAGATCTATAAAAACACACATGCTTAAGAAACAAAACACTTGAACATCTCTGCATACCTAATTTTATGTGCACACACTCATAAAAAAGAGATTAATTTTATATATGGGCGATCATAAATCAATTGAATTTTGAAATCAACAGTGTTAAAAAAAATCAGATGAAATCATGTGTACAATGTACAGTCATTATTTACATTTTTTTTTGTTAAAACTATTTCCTTGTCTTGTGAAAATTTCTAGAATCAGAATTAGAAGCTCACTTTATGTCTGATGATAAATCTTTCTACAAGAATGCAGTTACTATAGTTCTTCTTTAAGAGGTATACATCAAGTTTTATATTTTTCTAAGAGTATGTGTGATGATGGCACTTACGAGAAAAATTGCCAAACTCTCCAAGATAGGCAGTTTCTGCCAGGATTGCTTTTAAGAATTGTTAATTTGTCTCTTCTTTATACAATGCATAATTATTAACTTACTTAAAGAAATGAATAAAAAAAAAATTCTTCAGCATTTTGAAAAAAGACACTTGAACAAAATTTACCAGGGGACACAATCCTAATTTGGTTGCAATTTTAAGCAGGAAAAACATAGTGATATATGGTACCGGAGTGTATGAAAATTTTCTTTTTAGAAGATTTAAACTTCCTAGGAATTTAAAAGACATACATAAAGTATATCATAAAATTGATGAAAATATTAGTGCTTTGTGTAATATGATTAAGATATTGAACAGTCCCTTTTCTCTGGAATATCAGCTTTATATAAATATCAATTTATTGTGAAAGTGTACAATTAGTATTATCTATATATACTGCTCAGCTCAAAAACAGACTCATGCATATTGATATACAGCATGTTCAGTACAGTATGAATGATTTTACACTTCTAAAATATACCTAATAAGAATTTAAAAAAAAACATTTTTGTTTCATTTCAGGGTTTTTAAAAAGACAAGCCCAAATGGAAAGGTGTGTACATTTCAATACTGAATCAAAAAAAAAACAAAAAAAAACATAAATCATCACTTCAAGGTTTTCGTAATTGCTATAGCGTGATTAACAATTTCAAGGTTAGATGCTTTCAATGAGATAATATCTAACTGGGTTCTGATTCACAAAATATGCTCCATATTTTATTTTTATGGTTTTAATTTATGTTTTTCGTCAGCTGTAGCTCATGAAAGAAAGAAAGTGCATATACCTATATATATATTTTCTTTATAAGAAATTGCATGTTTATGTTTTGCTATTAATGACTCGGAAAATATATTAAATAAAAAGATTTTAGGAAGATTAATTTGTCTGTCACTTTCCTTCATGATCTAGGATGTTTTTTTTTTTAATTAAATCGTTCAGATTGGGAAAATTTTATATTTAATTTAAAGATTAATAAAATGGAGAACCAATATGATTGTTGAAATAACGGAGGCAAAAATGATTCTTGTATATCAACAAGAGCAGGTGTCATAATGTGCAAGTCGTGAGAGAATTTTGATTTACTTGCATCAATTCTCCATGCTCTAGTTTGTTATAGAAATGCAATTATTTGTTATCAATTTTATGCTAATGTCTGAGGAATCATATCTCCATATTATATAAAAGAAACTTAAAGTGCAGTTTGTCCATGAAAAAAAATTGATGTACATGAAAATGGAGTGTTGTTGCATGTGGGCTTCTTTTGATTTCTTTCAAAATTTTTCAACCAAAATAAAAAAAATGTAATAAAAAAATTGAAAAATTTAAGATGCATAAAATAATAAATTCATCCAAGATTGACTGAAAGGCAAATAATCGATAAAAATTAATTCATATGAGTGATTCTAATTGAGAAGAGTAATTAAGTGTAATAATTTCTTGTGGCAATCAAGATTATAATTTTATTGATCATGAAGCTTGATAGTTTTTTGGAGTTCATTGGAAAACGATAATGTTTTAAAATTTTTTTCAGATAACAACGTACCTGGGAAAACGAGATTTCATTGATCACTTAACTCATATAGACCCTATTGGTAAGGCACTCTCTAGTAATAGTAAATTTCTGTGTACTTTTATAAAATTTATAAAGTGCATTTTTAAAATTCTTTTTTTAAACTTGATATCTTTAGAATATTGTGCACTTTTACGAAAATTATAGGTTCATATTCTTTAAAATTTATTGTAATAAAAGTGATACTGGGTATATACAGCCAATGTATTGGATTTTATAATGTACTTCTATGTCCAATTCTTGTTTAAATAAAGGTACATACATGAACCTGTTTGAACCTATTACCTTTGATATTGTAATAACGAAATCCTATCAAATGTACTGTACTGTTGGTTAGGGGTGTGAACATTCGTGTCTAGATTTTTTGCTTATAATGTGAAAAAAGTAATCAGGTGATTTTACATTTATCATGTTTATGGCATGTAATTTTTGCTAAAAATAATATTAAGGACATGCACAGACAATTTTTTATGTCAGCATAAAATGCATTACAGAATTGTAAATGACTTATTCACAAATTTATTTTTCGCACTTTTATTGTTTTTTGTTTTGTTGGAGATTGACTAGCCAGAATTTGTGAAACATTTTGTGTGGCATATAAGTACTAAATAAATACAGTAAAACTCTGTTATAATGAAGTCACTTGGACGTGTAAAAATTACTTCACTATATCTCTGTATAGGGAATATCTAAAATTTTACAATGGGGGATCCAAGAAACCTTCGCTATATCCATGAATGCACACTATCTGTGTTCGTACTAAACGAGTTTTACTGTATCTGGAAAAAATATTGTGTTTCCATAATTTGGCAATCTACAGTATGGTATTTTTTTCCTATAATAATGATACACAGTGCTTTAGTTAACCCAAGATGAGTGGCAGAGTAACCTATGAATTACCATTTAAATGAATCTTCTGACTTTTTGATTATGACAGGTCACAGAAAAATCATTTACTGACCATAATTAAACCTTGAAAAGGTTTTCAATGCATAAGGAATTAAAAAAAAAAACTTCTTAACACTCACTCATAACTACCCCTCATACCGGGTATATTGGAATATTAATTTTTATAAATTCAAAAGTTTCCTTGACCATGACAACTTATCTTCCTTTGATGATATTTGTAAGATTTAACTTTTACTTAATTATACCTTTTTTATGTCCCCCCTCCTCTTAGTTTTTAGTTTATGCAGAATAATTGCGAAAAAAAAAATCTTACAATATGATAATGTTGTTTTCTTCATTTGTAGATGGAATAGTTCTGGTTGACCCCGATTATTTACAAGGAAGGAAAGTGTTCGCCCATGTGTTGGCAGCATTTCGTTATGGACGTGAAGATTTGGACGTTCTCGGTCTGACTTTTAGAAAAGACCTTTACTTGGCCAATTTTCAGGTATACCCCCCAGTGGAGGATCAAGCTAAACCCCTCACAAATCTACAGGAGCGGCTCATCAGGAAATTAGGATCCAATGCCTATCCTTTCTTCTTTGAGGTAAAACTAGCAATGAAGTCATAGAGTATGTCCTAGGAATGATGTCGGCATGATATACTGCATAAAATGAATGAAAATACATAAAAGGGTGCATTAAGTTGAATAATCTCAATGGGATTTATGAAACCATGAAATTAAATAAGAGAAAAATTTCCTTACATATTTTATTTACAATGTAAGGTCACCTGAGTCACAGATATCACTACCCATTTTGATTTGTACGTTGTCAGACGTTTGTAAATTATCAGATATTTTCCGCATCTGCTCATAAATCAGTTGGACCAATTTTTACCGATTTTGGTGATACAATGAAATTTTCTTCAAATATCAAGAGAGGCAAAGTGAAAAAAGAATGAGATGGCTTCAATGCATGTGCTCAAACAGTCATTGTTTTGCAAAATTTAAATTACCTTATGATTTGTTTTCCAAGTACTACACTAACTAATTTATTAATCCAGATCATCCTATTTCTCTTGATTTTAATTGGGCAACAGTCCTTAATTCATCATTTATTTTGATTTTTGTTATACAGATCCTTCTTGGTGTTGTAAATATATAATACTCAGGTGACCCTTAAGGCCCTTGAGCCTCTTGTCTGCTATTCAGTACTAAAAAAAAAGAATTTGTCAATATATTTTCTCAGTTCCTGCTTATGATATCACAGTTATATCACTGTGGTGTCTTGTTTGTTTTTCACAGGAAATGTAAGTGATTCATAAGTAGTTCAAAATTACCCAGTTTCACCCTATAGGTTAATATTTAGTATTGACATCACATTAATGCTAAGATTATATTCAATTAATGACCAGTATTTATCTTTTTCCCTCCAGCTTCCTCCCAATGCCCCAGCCTCTGTCACTCTCCAGCCAGCCCCAGGGGACACAGGCAAGGTAAGAGTTAGGAGTATGTGTCTGAGGTAGAAGTCTCAAAACAAACCCGTCATCTCAGACTAAGAGACCCAAGAGGACATCAGTCATCTGAAGCTCAAAATGTCAAAAACACATTGCATTTTTCCTTTATACATGTCACTTGTAGGATATGGCAAATATTTTTAATTTAAAAAAAAAAAATCTTTTTTCCAAACACTTGCTGCAATAATGTAGCCTCCTCCCCCTTTTATTTGGGGGGTTGGGAGGTTGGAGAGCTATTTTATTGTAGCTATCCAAACAGAAAAGGTTTAAGTAAGAATCTGAAAAAAAAATTGTTTTTTTGTTTCATTTAATTGGTAAAAATTTATGTTAAAGAAAACATATTTTAAAAAATATCAGAAAATGGATAAGAGAATTTTAATAAAAAAGCCCTGAAAATGTATTTGAAGCAATTTTTAGGTCACAATGGGATTCTGCCATGTTTGTTGTTGACAACATAACATCCTGTTTGTGATTATCTCCAAGTCATGACTCCCTAATTCAAGTCTGCAAATTGTTTTTCAAAAACTTCCACTCCTTAGGGAGTTGATCTGATTTAACAGCTGATTTTAATTTATTGCCACGATTTCTCAATTTATTTTTGAATTCCGTAATGAATTTGTGAGATAAAAAGCTAATATATATTTTTTTGTAATTTACTGCAATATTAATATGTCTCTCTGTCCCAATGTTACTTTGATCAGTTAGTACATATTTTGATTTGACTCTGGGGATAGGGTGGGGTAGGGAACTTCAGATGGTTAATTAAAATAAATTTTATTGAATTATCATTCACATTGTTTATTTACTTGGTATTTGTGATTCACTATTAAAGAATTTTAGACAAATAATAAGTAATAGCAAATCTTAAAAGCATGTAAGTTAAAAGTATAACCTGTGACAACATTGTTAACAACTTCTGAATCAATTTACGGCTGTTTTCCCTTTCTCTGAAAATAAATGAAATCTCGGAACGTGTTATAAAAAAAATGTATTGAATTTCTCTTATACAACCTTTGGGTAAAAAAAAAACCCTTTATGTTACATCAAATACATTATATCTAAGACATAATTTTAAAAATATTGGAGCTTGATTTCTTTTGTTTTCTAAAATAAATCCCTAAATTCAGTTTGTGTACAACTTTAAAAAAATTGGCTATAGTGTTTAATAATCAAAAGTTTATAATCACTCCATCTTCAATATTTTTTCTTAGTCAGGTAGTAATTGTTGCATAATAAGAATTGTGTTGGAAGATATATATTACGTCACAATGTAAAGTGCAAAATTACTAATTAGCACATATGTGCTTTTATTTACATTATTAATATTTTAACCTCATGTTACTTAAAAAGTTTAATTTAAATCTATTTTTTCAAACAAACAGTGTGACGTACATCTCGATCGTTAAATGCGTAGCATTGCAGACGTAAAATGCAAGTTTTTCACACAATGTGTAATAAAACACAGCTTTCGAGTTATTTATATGTATGCAGTATGTATATAGAATAGAATAGACATGATGTCAAAAGGGGAAAAGAAAATATCGATCTTTTATTTCAAAATAAGAAAGCTACAGGGAAGAAAGCCACGACAAATGGTACAAAATAAGACTACAGAGTGTTGGTTTAGATGACAGTTTAACAGATTGATACATGACCAAAAGTGACAACAGATGTCGTAATCTGGGGGATACAGATCAATAGAAGAACATCTTGTGGTGGTCTTAAAACCTATAGATTATATATGTATAGCTCATAGATGTTATTTTGAATTATATAGACTGAGATTTTTATGACCCCATAATCAAAGATTTGGGGGTATATAGTTTTTGCCAAATCTGTATGTTTGTCCACAAAAACTTAAACCTTCCTCATGACTTTTTATTGGGTGGGACAAGGGCTTTCATATTTCACATCTGTATTTTGTTACAAGACCTTTTTTCAGGTCTTGACCTTTACCTTGAACTTCGACCCTTTTTTACAAAAGTACACGAACTCTAACCTTGGCCATAACTTTTGATAAGTCTGTGCTAGAGCTTTAACACTTCACTGTGTATTCACTGTCACAGTGACAAAAACTTTCAATTGAAATTAATATTTTTGACCTTGACCTTAGAGTTTGACCCACTTTTAAAAGACTATCCTTGGATATAACATATCATAAAATTACAAGGGCTTTCATACTTCACGGGTATATTCCTTGTGACAAGACTTTCCATTAGATACCAACAAATTGGACCTATTGACCATAACCTGGGAGTTTGACTTGCATTCAAAAAGCCTCAGCCCTCACCATAAACTGTCTGTAATAATGGGGTTTCAGTGTTTCACAAACACATCTTGTTACTGTATAAGTCATGGACATTTTGAATTTTCATCTTTTTCCGGATGTCATCTCTAATGTTTAGAGTCATATGACTGAGGAAAATATTTACAGCTTTTAAGTATGCAGATATGCCTTTGGTTTAGAACAATATTCATGTAAAAGATTTCTCATTCAAATTTTGATTTGAAGGGCAAATATTGGTTCTACCTCATAAAATTCTTTTCCTGTAAATTTTGTGATCTGCATGTACATATATAGGTGTAAACTAAATAGATAAAGCAAGAAAATAGCTCTTCTGCACTATACTGGTTAATATGTAAAAAAAAAATTGCTGTTATGAAAGGTATAAAAAAGTTATTAAAATCCACATGGAAACAATTTGTTTTTGGATGATGACAACAGATTTTGTTGGCACATTAATGTCTTACTCATGATATATTGATGTTGATTTTTTTTCCTCAGCTGTCTGCAGATTCAATATAAATTAAATTTTTTGATACAGAAACTATAAATTTTCTGCTTTGAATGGACATATTTAAACAGTTTACACAAATTACTTTTAAATGAATATTTATTATGAATACTTATTATTTTTTCAAATTATTGAAAATCAGAAGCAAGATATTGATGAACTCTACATAAACTTCTTTTTATAGAAATTGGCATATATATCAGATTTTGATGCATACAGGGTAGAAATTTTATCAAAGATATGTTTTAATTAATAACTGAAGCTTATGTACCTTAATCATTAGTTTGAAGAGCGACATTGAGCCCCTTGAGCTATCATGGCATTGACGTCTAGGGAAATAGAGAAGCTAGTATATTTGTAAGAAAATATGTCAATACCTAATTAATTTAATGAAATAATGGTCTCTTGCAAAACAGCCCTGTAAGCAGATCCTTATGAACCATCATAGAATCTTTATAAAACTCTCCCTAAGTGAAATAGATAAATGTTATTGCATGCACATTGTTTATAATTGCTGCTGATAATCAAGTCGCAAAATACGATATTGAAACAAATACTTCTCTTCAACATTACTCATGGTTTGTTTTTAATTATAGTTTTATCCATGACTCAATTATTTTTTTTTTTAATTTCATAATTTTTAATTGCAGGTGGATAAAAAAAAAGCTTCTTAATTTTAATCAATATACTAATTGACAGATTTAAAGACTTTTCAAGATTCTTCGTGATCTCCATAACATATCTTCATGTAACAGCTTTATAGATTTGAAATTGAAGAAATATAAAGAGCTAGAAGATTCACACTTTATATCACACCTCCCTAGGGGTTTTGATACATTGAAGGAGAATAGCATGTGAAGTTTCATCGTCTATCGATTTCTTTTCTATATAGCCCTGTGGAGTAGACTATGAGTTGAAGACATATGTTGCTGACAATGTCGACGAAAAACCACATAAAAGGTAGAGTTTCTGTAAGGAGAAATAATGAATATACTGGTATATATGTGTGTATTGGTCAAATATGTCCAAAGCTCTTTGATTAAAATCTATGAAATAAAGGAAACTTGAATTCAAAAAGCTATTAAAAAAAAGGGAGACAATTTAACTTGTCCTTATAGTTGCAACCATTATGATAAAGCATCGCTAAACTTGTTTCCACCTTGCAGATGAAATATTTCGTGGAGGTTTGTTTTCATGTTAAAGTATCATCAATGCATTACATTAAGTTTGTTCCCAATTAACAACTCATCAACTTCTGAAATGAGATTTTAAAATACATGTACATGTAATAGGGGGATAAGAGAAACAACTCACAAAAAAATCCTTTTAATTTAGGTGATATTTCTTTAAAATTCTATGGTTACAACAGAGAAAAATGGTTAGAAGCAAAATCTGGATATAAATATCTAATAAAAAGTTGACTGTTCTTTCTTTATATTGAACAGGAATTCAGTTCGCCTGGCGATAAGAAAGCTGACATATGCCCCCGTTGAACCTGCTCCACAGCCCAGCGCTGAAGCCACAAAAGATTTCATGATGAGTCCAGGAAACATCAAATTAGAGGCATCGCTTGACAAGGAAGTAGGTCAAAAGTCCACACTTGTAAACGTGACCTAGATAATGTCGATAAAATGTATATAAGTAGGTATAGGGTTGACAGTGTACCCCTAAAGTGTTTCGACAAAAGCTTGACAGGCAAGAGTAAATTAAAGTGAATCAGTACCTCTAAATGTGACCCAGAATGAGATGAAATGTTTTGGAGAATGTTGTTGAAGCTGCATTTTTTTAATCAGCACAAAATTGGTTGCTTTAGCAGTTGATAGACATATTTTTCATTTGCCTTTCTTTTGTCTCATAGATTTAAACAATGAATGTATGAAGAGAAGATTTATAAACACATATTATATCCAAATATTTCAAGGGTTTTTCTATAGTCCTTTGTTATTGAATACGTATTTATAAGTTAAGTTAATAGTTGCCTTTTTTCAAATAAGGAAGTTGATGGGTAGAATGATTGTTCACTGTAAGAATTTTTTTAAAATTACATTTTGTGAAATTACCATAAATCCATCTGATTGAGGATGTATTCTTTGTTGTTGGCTGTCAAAATCTTTTTTTAACAAGGAACTTACTGATAGGAAGAAAAACTTTTCTTAATTCTTAATGTAAAATAGGTTATAAACATTAATCATTCGTTTATCAACACAATGATCACAATAAATGTGCGGAAATGATCATCGTTTTGTGACCATGCTTTATACACACACCCATATATCAATTTATCTAATAGCTCTTCTATGTGACATTAAGATTTTTCTCCCATGTGTCTTAAAATAAAAAGTGAGTTCACCTATGAAGACCAATTAATTCTGCATTTAAGCTCTTGTCAAGATTTTTCTCCCATTTCTTCAAATAAAAAGTGAGTTCACCTATAAAGACCAATAAATTCTGCATTTAAGCTCTTGTCAAGACAGTGTAAATATATTGAAATTTTTCCACTTTGAACACAGCACTCAATATGTCTGAGTAATCTATGTAATGACTCTGAGATTTTGATGTCGGTGAAAGCGAAAGGGATATTGGATAGACACAGGGAAAGGACAATTCATAATTATGTTGACCAATTTTCTGTTCTACAAATAAACCTGGAGAAAGCTAGGATTAGCTGTTCCAGTTTGGAATCTGTAAATTGATCTCTGTTGGTGATATAATCGGCCTTGTTTCCTCTTATCATGCGTTTTTAAAGGGTGTTAATCTGAGGCATTGTCCACCGAAAGCTCTCACGCACTGCTGTTGCCTTGTACCTCAAGGGTATATACGAGGGTCGTTAGAAAAGTTCGCGGACACTTTGAATTACGGAAAATCTATTTTGTACTGTGAAGTATGACCTATGTCTGAATAAATTCCTACATTTTGTTTATTGGTATGTAAAAAATCATATATAATAAAATCTTGAAAATTTACAACGTTTTTTACTATGAGGTCATGGAATTCACGGAGCAATCACTTGACGTAAGGCGAACAACCCGATTTCAAGTTCTATAAATCTTTCATTTCTTCAGATTTTTCTTATCTATTTTCTACTTTAAAATTGAATATCTATATCAAGACATATTACTTTTCTTTTATATAGTGTCTTTTGTACTGATTCAGATATTATTGAGATCTTTAAAAAAGTCTATGCAGTTAATCGATCAGGTATGGAAACTATGCAAAACCATATAGGCGCAACGCAACGTCCATGCGATACGGGGGTATTGAAGTATCGATGGAGGCAATCATTCAAAACGTTAATCCTTCCATTCTTATGTAGCTACAACCATTTGAAAACTTGTCCTTTGTAGGTGTAGGAAATTCAGCATCTTGAACATTTTAATCTCTTTTTAGACATTTTCCAGTCTGCATACATAATTTTTACATAGTGCAGTGCTCCGTGACGCTAAATGACGTTCCGATTTTTGGCTGTGTTTTTAAGCGTTGATCAGTTAAAAACGGCTATAAAACAGTCATATACCCTCCAATTTAGTTCAAAATTTTTCCCAGTGACGTTTCATGAATACTATAGCGGCAGGTAAAATATCATAAAAGTCTTTGCGGTACAATTGTGCAATTTTTAATTTTAATAAAGAGTCTTTGTGATGTAAACGTGCCAGAATGTAGCATGCTCCGTGAAGCAAGATTTATCAAAATAAAAAAGCTGTATATTTTTCAATAATCATCGGAGAGCAACAAATTCTTGTATATTAATTGGAAAAAAGGTAAAGATTTTATCTGCAAAGTTTGACCGGTTTCGTGGAAATAGCGCGCTCACAATAAAACTTGTCCGCGAACTTTTCTAACACCCCTCGTATATATATATCCTTGATAAGTGAGAATTAATAATAATAAATACTTCCTCTAATAGTATTGGGGAGGGAAAAAAAATATATCATCGTTAAATGGAAGTTGACGGATTAAAGACGTAAGAGACTTTGACAACTGATGAAGCCTCAGTGGCCATTTTATTACATGCAGATGTAAAGGACCATTGGCCGTTTTAACAGTAGGGGAAATTCATTTTCAGGACAAGTTATTTACATTTGTAGTTGCATTGTGTTTCCAATTAGATGAGGCGAACCACTTGTGACATTTGACTGACCACAAGCATGAACTCTGTAAATATCTGGAAAAAATCAATATGCAGCCTCCTTTGAGACCTTATAATCTTGCACTTCCTTAAATTGTCCAATTTTAAGAGGGTCTGGTGGATTTAAATTGGGTCCTCTAAGTGAAACATTGAACCTGCAACCGACCCCCCCCTCCCACCTTTGAGAAATTTTGAAAAAAAATTAAATTTAGAATGCCATCCTTATTGCTTAGCAATTATTAAATTAAACAATTTGATATATTCAATTTTGAGCTCTATTGTAAACTTGACGAGCTTTAATATTCTGATATTGCTATAATTAGATTTTTTGTTTACATCTTAATTTATATGAAATATTTTGCAAAATAGGTGCATGTAGCATTGAATAAAAATAAAATTAAAGTCAGTCTTTTAAAGATCTGTAATACATATACCAAGGATTAGAGATTTAATTTTTTTTTATATATCATGTTAAAATATTTGCCATGTTTAAAAAAAGGTCCCAAAATACTAGATACCTTACCCTAAAGCTGAAATTACCAACTATAACTCACAGGGGGACTCCAAGCTGCTTCAGCCTTCTACCAGCAAATTTCATATTCTTTTACATTCAGTAGCACTTTTTCACCTCCAAGGGAAATAATTTTTAAGTTCATCTAGTAGAATTCTAAAGAATGATACTGATTTCTAATATTGTACAAATTTCACTCTGTTGACTTTAAAACCCAGTGCTTTTTTTGCCACTGAAGAGCAATTTCTTCTTTAATCGTTGCCCTGAAATTGGTCTTTATTTTGACAATCCATGTCATTTAGTGTTTTGTAGATGAATACTTTCCTTTTTTTCCCCTGTTATTTTGTAGGGCATATCCCTAGGGTAGAAAAGAGTTAAAAACAGTGTCCTAAAAGAAAATTATAATACCGTAGTGATACTTAAAAACAAAGGGGACTAAGTACTTTGTTATTGACTAGATATTCATGCAGCTATGTAAAAAAAAAAAAAGTGTTATGAAGAATATTGTCTACGAAATCATTTTTTATACTTTCAGAAATATTACCATGGAGAAAGCATAGCAGTTAATGTATTGGTGGATAATAATACAAATAAATCGGTTAAAAAAATTAAGATTTCTGGTAAGTATCAAGTGAGATACATGCATTAATTTTGTTCTTTTAAAACTTAATATATTGAATGAATAAAATCCATTTAAGAAAGTGATATATTCCAAGTTCATGTAATGTAATAAAATGTTTAACTTTCTGCCAAATTTTTATATAATTTTTCTTTCCTCTAATTTACTTTGCTAAGAAAAGGCATGAGTTAAGAAGTCAAGATTATGTCATGTGCTTGAAGAGAGATAACTTGTATAGAATTTTTATGATGTGCATGCCTGTCTTTGATATTTGTAGTTCGTCAATTTGCTGATATTTGTTTGTTCTCAACTGCACAGTATAAATGTGGTGTTGCAGAAATTGACAGCGAGTAAGTATTTATCAGTACAGATACACTTATATTCTATTTATAGTAAGATTTTATTTGGTATTTAGGGATAAAACACATAGATTAAGAAATGCATTTAAACTTGTCTACAAAATCTTTGGCCGGACATGGGGACCATTACTTAGGATGAGACAGTATAAACCGAGGTCCCGTGTCACAGTAGGTGTTGGCACAAAAGAGATCCCTCCCTGCTCAATGTCACTGAATTATGAGTCTAGGTCAGAATTTGCAGCCCTCTATTGGCAAGTGATGGCATCACCTATGAGTGAAAAATTCTCGAGAAGGACGTTAACAACACATAAACAAACAAAAGCTTGGGATCAGAGAAGATCATATTTCAGCTTGATTAAAAAAAACAATGTTTATTCCTTGGTTAGCAGGATAGCTCTATTTACATTTCTTGATTGTTGTTCATAAAATTAATCAATATTATTGATTTTAATAATAACTACTTATCAAACTAAGCAAACCATAAAAAACTTAAATATAAAAAATACAAAAGCATTATGGGAAAGGACAGAATGATTGATGAACAGGACCAGTATTTCCAATAATTGCTTCAATAGTGTTTTGTCGGTTTTTCATGGGACACTTAATTAGTGTGAAGAGCATTCAGTAGGTCCCTATAGTGATGGTATATGCATATAATGATTGAGGCATTGGAAGTAAAATTACTCATTGTAGGCAGTGTGGCCATGTGTATGTCTGACTTAAGCTGTTTTGTGAGGGCATTAATAAATAACCAGTTATTTGTAAACAATGATGTCTTTTTATCTTATCAAAGTTTGCAAAGGCAATCTCTCTCTCTTTCTTCAATGCCAGTTTTCCTGCATTGGAACCTAGTATTTTTTTATACACCCCAGAAAAATCATTTTTTGACATTCTTTGGCAATACATTTACAATATACATTTTAATAAGATGCATTTTAATGTGTTCTAGTCATATCATGGGATGATAAAAAAAGTTAATTTGTAGCTTAACTTATGGCATCTCTGAAAGGAAAATCTTCAGGCTTTGGAAATTACCTGAAATAAAATACAACTCAGTTACCTGTACATGTACAATCCTATGAACTAGAACCCCTCACCTGGCAAATTTTGTTCCTCCTTAAAACTTATGATGCAGAAAGACAACGAAATGTAAAATTGCATGCAGATAGCAAATGCACATCTAGACTGGTACATTTAAAGATGAAGTTGAACAAATGCCAATTTTTTAAGCTTACAATTTTTTTTTCTTGTATTTTTAGGGAAGGCTTTCCTATTCAACCTAGTCAGATAGGGTTTTGCAAAGTATATTATGTGACCCCATTGTTGTCCAATAATAGAGACAAGCGGGGCTTAGCTTTAGATGGCAAGCTTAAACACGAGGATACAAACCTGGCCAGTTCAACAATGTAAGTACTATACATGTGTATAACTCTGTTTATAAGTCATTTTATTTGCATTAATAAAGGATATTTTGCACAAAATTCTTGGGCATCTTTAGGAACAAGATAATTTTCAGTTGCCATCTTTTCAAGTTTTTTGAAAACCTTGCATGGTGTTTTTCTTGAAACAATTTTAAAAAAATCTTTTTAGAAAGGGTCATTTTTTTGTTGTTGAAAATTTCATTTGTATTCTTTCAATATTTTTTTCCTTTTGATCTGCAGTATGACTGAATCTAGTCAAAAAGAGAACTTAGGAATTGTTGTTTCCTACAAAGTGAAAGTGAGGCTTATTCTGGGATTTGGATCTGGGTGAGTTATCCTTCTTTAGCTGATAAACTTGTAAAATAAGAATACTTTGTAAATAAAGGAAGATTTAATCATTTTGACACTTGCAAACACACACATGGATGTTTCTTTGTTTTCATCCCACTTGTCAATTTAGATATCATATTTCAGCAATTTTTCAGAACATGATTAAAAAAAAAAATTATTTTTTCTCCCATGAAAAATATTCATCAGTGAATGAAGCATCATCTAATGATGTTCAAGTTCATATTTAAGAACAAGGTAAAAATACTGTACACACTTTTGAACATTTACAACATATGCACTGCCAAAAACAAAAAATGAATTTGCAATTTGAATTTCAAAACTCTTAATTTATTACTTGTCACCACAATTTTTTATATGGGGAGTCTTGCCATCCTGTGTCTCAATACATAAAAAACATCTGCTAAATTGCAAATTCAGTGAGACTTTGTCAGAACTGTGGATGTTTTTACAGGGACCTGTGCGTGGAGCTACCTTTTACCTTGACTCATCCCAAACCAGCAGAATCCCCTCCCCCCTCCCGTCCCATCAGTGTGGTCCCCAAAGAGGGGGATAATGTGCCGGTGGATACAGACCTCATACAGCTTGATACCAAGTAAGATTGTCTTTATTTTAAATAGGGCCCTTTCAGTGAAGCAGTCTTGTGCAAATGATAGTGAGACTATTTGGGGGAAAATTCAGTTCATCATGAAATGCATTTTATCTGAGTATAACTAATAGATAACATTTTACCTGGATGTTTTTATTAATTTTACAGTATTTTAAAATTCCAATTTAATTTTGCAAATTTTTTGACTGGAATTATCTAATTGAATTGATAAATGCCCTGATGGTGTTTTTTAAAAACTTAATTTTTTTGAATTTGGTGTTGGGGTATGGATGTGAAATTTTCAATTCATTATTTTTTTCATATTCACATTAATCTGTATTTTATATTGAATAATATTGACTAACCTGTGATTAATTGTTAAGATTACTGATTTTTTATTTTACTGTTTTTGTAGTGGAGTGGAGCCAGACAAGGATGATGACTTTATTTTTGAAGACTTTGCGAGACTAAGATTAAAAGGTCATGATCCAGATGACACAGAAGCTTAAGCTGACCTTTGAACCTACATTTTAAACAAAAAAAATCTGCCAGAACCGGGTGTTTTTTATGTGACATGTCACACATGCAAAATGTGTTAAACCTTTCAGGATAAATTCAGAATTTGCAGAACTTTCTTAAAGATTCTCAGAACACAAAGTGGTAGAATAACAAGATATACTGCAGAATGATTTGGGTGTGTTTATGTGTTGTCATAGTAACAAATGTGAAGTTTATATATATAAATATTTTATTGTCATGAAAACCTGGTTAATGCATTTACTGAAGCCTGTTTTATAAAAATCATACATTACTGCAGAAAGCAAAAGAGTTATTTGGTATAAACACATCATCAAGTGACCACTCACACTTTTCGCACATACTATACTTTTTGTTAATGTCAATGGTTTGAAAAAAATAACAATATTTTAGTCTCCCTCAGCATTTGTATTTTTATGTTTGCATTTTTAATTTGACATTCAAATGCTAATTCTGGTGTTTTAGAAATTTCTTCAGATAATTTTATTGAACACTGATTTTCCCGAAAAATACATAGGGCATAGACTTCACCAATCCTGCAGTATATAAGCCCCTTTCTACTTTGGTGCTTTTGACCTCAGTTTGTGACGTGAGTGAGTTTTGTGTGTGAGTTTTGAGTGTGTTTGTGTTAGCCAGATATTTGTATATTGTAGAAGATTCAGTATTTGGGTGGCTTAAGAATGTTTTTAGTATTATACATATATTTATTACAAAATTATATAGCGCTTGTATTGAAAGGTTTAGAAAATTGACATAATTTTAAATTACAAAAAAATCTTTTTTTATATGAATCGTAATTGTTCAAATTATTGTGCTTTATTGGTAAAAAAAATCATTTATTTTCCCTGAAATCTGGAGGATAACATTGACCTTTATATGCAAAAATTGATAAAATCAACTCATGTGTTCTCCCATTTTATTGATGTTGTTCATTGCCCCAAAATTTTTATACCAATTAAAAAAGCAAAGCTAAAAATGTTTAATCCTCATTTTTTTTTTAAAAATGTGTATAAAATATCATGAGGCATATATTCCATTTTTTCCCCATTGCAAACTTTCTTACATGTATGTATATGGTGTCTATGGAATTTCCTGAAATTTTATTTTTTTTGCTTTTTATACATATTTTTATCAATTCATAAAAAAGAGTTATTTTTGACATCAATTATTTCTATAATTAACATGCTATTAATAAAAAACAGATATCGTAAATATCTGCATCTTAGATATGGAATACTTGATTCTGACGTATTGGGCAACTGACAACATACTTCTTTGTGAGGCCATGCCAATTCACTTTTTTTGCTGGTTAGACCTGCATGCTTGTATTTAAACAAAACTGAAAATAATGTTAACTTCAATTTCCTGCACCTGGGAAATTCTGTGCTAATTTCTTTTCCATTTCCCCTGTATTTTTTATATTTAAAATCTGATTACTCTAAATTCAGAAAAAAGTAGAAAAAAATATAATAATCCACTCAAATTTTTCATGTTTTGCCTATTAAAAATGTTTCCTACAAAAAAGTAAGATTACTTTTATTTAAATGCTTGCCTGCACATACTTTTTTCATAAGATGCCAAATTAACAAGAAATTAAATTGGTGTGGCCTAAACAGATGTTGTGCACACATCAAATTGTGTAATCTAAAATTTTTGAAAGACTCATGTGATTTAAATATGGCGCAGCCAAATACTACCAGAATCGAGTATGCTTATGTCAATTTTTTTATCAAAAAAGCTAAACCTGGGGGTTCACTCTTAATTATTTTTTATAGGACCATGCATTGTATTTGAAGAGGAAAATTGGAATCTCTATGACTTATATTCAAAGTGTAAAAGAAAATGATTTTTTTTTCTGCATGTAAATTGGCGGTAACTTTGTGGACTTGATAGAAGAAAGACTGGTGATTTATTTTTTTGTAATACTCAAGCATCAATACGGGATTAGCTTAGAAATGTTTATAGCAGATGTAGATCATGTTTAGAGCCATTTTTTTTGTTTTCCAAAGTGCTTACGTAATACCACATGTAACATGTTTTGTGTACATTGTGTTTGTTTTTTGGAAGTACAGTGCTTTAAGTGATGAAATAGAGAAATTGCATTATGAGGTACATTTATTGACAAAGGAAGAGTCGAAAACATTGTTCAATACTTGATTAACTTAGACCACTGGTTAAACTGTTAACAAAGAATATTCAGCATTAGCAGTTGATAAGGGCCTGGTTGACCTATTAGAACTTAGGCCTCACCATGCTTATTTATGTACAACATTATATTTATATGCTTTGTTGTTGTTCAGTAGTCCTGAAATTTAATCATTTGTATTGTTAAGTAAATACTGAAATGCACTGAGTGTACCTTCTTTCTGGTGTAAGCATCTGCCTCAGGGGCACGATTTTCAAAAGAACTTACGACTAAGACCAACAATTTTAATTGATTTTAAAATTTTGTAAAATTAATTATCCCATTTGAATTGTTAAATTCTTTTTAAAAAGATCAAAACAATTTTCAAATCAATGTAATAAACTAAAAAAAATTGTGAGTAAAATGAAATCTTGGTTTTAGTCGTAAGTTCTTTTGTAAAATGAGACCCAGGGTCATAAATTGTAGAATCATCATGTCTGTCTGTCTGTAGATGTGAATTTGTCTGGACCTGTTCTTAGAGACTATTGGATGACTTTGCTTCAAAACCTGTACACTCATTATTCACCATTTGAAGGTGTGCACCTGTCATTTGAGTTCATATAGGTTTGAGACATAGATTCTATAGCTGCAAGTTGATACATCTGTACAAAAATGTGAATTGCAGCTTATAATAAAACTACTCATTAACATTAAACCTAAAAAAAGATGTTTTTGGTAGAAAGTCCTTAGACATCTATGCAGTCATACAGTAAAAATTGCAGAGAAAGGAGTTTAAATTTTCAGCCCCAGTCCCTGGCTTGGCAATGTGAGTAAAAAGAAATCAAGAAAAAAATACTTATGTGATGCTTAATGTTTGTTGTTTCATGTACCTCTCAAGAATTTTTCACTCCTATGGAGATGCCACCACTTGCCGGTGGAGACTGGAGAACTGCCAATTTTGTCTTTTACTCGGCACTCATGGCCATTGAGCAATGGGGGATCTTTTTCATGCCAACACCTACTGCAACATGGGATCTTGGTTTAAATATCCCATCTGAATGACCAGTCTCTATGTTCCACAGTGGATTTGAACACATAGTGCAAGGCTCAACTCCTTTCTTTGCGACTCTAGAGCAGACGCTTTAACCACTGTGCCATACTGGCAACTGCTGGATATTGTGCAGATGACCAAACTACAGAAAAAGATTTCTTAATAATGATAAGATGCAGTTAAAAATGGCTATTTTTCTATCCTCTCTCCCCTGCCATCTTTCTCCATATTTTGCCTCTCTCTCCCCTCACACACCTCTCTCTTTCCTCTCACATACCTCTCTTCCAACTCTCCCCTCACACACCTCTCTTCCCACTCTCACACCTGTCTCTCTCCCCTCACGCACCTCTCTCTCTCCTCTCACACACCTTTCTCTCTCCTCTCTCCTCTCACATAACTCTCTCCCCACTCTCACAGCTCTCCCCACTCCTCTCTCTCTTCACTGTCACTCCCCTCTTCCCCCACTTCTCTGAGTGAAATGAAAGTGCAGAGAGGAATGGAGAGAGAGAAGTGGGAGTTGAGAAAGAGGGTGAGGAAAGAGAAAAGAATGTTCTCACACCTCTATCTCCCTACTTCCACTCTACTATCCCCACACTCTCACTACTTCTCTTTACTGGATTATCACTCACACTCTCCCCATTTTCTTGGCTCTCTTTCTTTATTTTTAATGTTTTTCTTTCCTTCTCCACCACCCCAGAGAAGCAGTGTGTATATTTGAAAAATTGATAAGTTGTAGTGTTTAATGTCGTTGGATTCCCGAAATTGCCAAAATTTACGTACATAATTTGAATAAATATACTTCGAATCCCAACTTGTGATATTTACCACTTATTCGAAGATTCTTGAACAATTGATTTGCCAGAAAAATATATCTGTATTTTTATTAACGAGAGAAATCATATATGCGCGTGCATCGTACGTACGCATAGAACCACCGATGATTCTTTCCCTTGTATAAAATATTTATTTCCACTGTACATTGTAAATAAAAAAAATCTTAGAGTATATATTATTTACAGTTATGAAAAAAACTTTATCTTTGGGCGTATTCTAACATAACTAGTTAGATTTTAATCGCACATAAGAAGCTTTACTTTATTTTAGCTTTCCATTTGCAGTTTAGCAAATATGCACGCACTTCAGATGATATTCTGGATTTCATTGTTAGTGGATAATATGACTCTAGAAACTTTTCTTATGGACATACATACGTCCCTCCTTTTATATTTTTAAAAAACTAAAAGTTTTTATTTTATTATTTTTAATTTTGTGCCAATCTCGATGTGATAGCTGAACTCTACTGACCATGGAGCACTACTCAGTTACCCCTGTACATGTATAACACTTAATGCCTTAACGGGTGTTATTGAATGGATGAATAAAGTAAATTGATGAATCATTGGACCGTTAATGTTGAAGACCGGAAAGAGGGCTTGTTTTTTAATAACGTTAGAAACAGTCGATCAAAATAACTGTAAATTACCAAGTGAGGTGTTCAAGTAGTATCAAGAGGGAAGGGTCTGCCCTCAGCACATTGATATTAACAAGCTAATACTTGATATCGCGATTATTTAACTTAGCGGAACTCTTTCGCGATGGAGGTAGGAAACGTCTGTTGGCTGGGGGCAAAAATGTGCTATTCAATACAATGCAAGAACGATCAATGTAGAATTTATAAGGACAAATAAGTAAAAAATCCTGGTGAAATGCCTTGCTAAACAATCGCTGAACCAGCCTAATAAATTTTTGAGAGGAGCCAATCCTTATTTGTTACATTTTTAATGATACAGTGATTTAAGCAGTTCCGGATCGTAACGGGAAAAACACTCGGTAAATTATTTATGCAGGACCTGTGTTTGATTTCTACATTGAAATAAGTAGTCCTTTATTTACTCTTTCAAGCCACATTAATATTTTGTTTAAAACATTATACTTTATAATCGAAGTTTTCCAATTAAAATATGCTGGAGTTCAAGCAGTTTAGATGATTTCAAGTAGTTCCGGTTTTCGCCACCTATCGTTGTTATTTATAGTTGTAACAACAGAGGTCGTCTCAAAATTCATTTTTAACGATCAGATCTTAAGTTAATAGGGACAATAATATTTTCCCCCACTTTTTTAAAGACTTGAGCTCGAAAATGGAATATCAATTATATCATATATAAAGAAGAAAAGATCATGTTTCAACAACTTTATTAACGATAAAATAAACTATCAAATATTTAAAAAAAAAATAAAAAAAACCCATAAAAATCAGAAAATTGCACTGGAAAAAACTAGAAAAAATCATCAAAATAAATAATATAATAATTAATCAAGGAATTGTTGTTCATTTCATACAAAAAACGAGGAATAGGACATAAATGCCCAACATATAATTCACCAGTTCACTTAATTGTATTTGAATGCACATGAAACTTTGCTTTATATAGTGTGTGAAGTTTGAAGAAAAGGTTAAACTTGAGTACATGTACTTTCAAAATAAATCATTTTTATACACAGTAGATGAGAAAGTTGAAGGCCATAGGGGAAGTCAGTTTTTAAAAAAAATACACACAGTTGATAAATTCTTACCAAATTTAAA